GAGAGAGAGAGAGAGAGAGAGAGAGAGAGAGAGAGAGAGAGCAGCTCTGGTCCACAGTACTTACGGTTGACACCAACGCTGGCGGCGCACCAAGCAAACGCGAGCATGTAGCCGATACCGATAAAGAGTGTGATGAGCGACACAAGACCAAGAGCGAAGTTCACCAGCATAATCTTCAGTCTGCTGTCACCGCGTACAACGGTGTGGCCAAGGCAGGTGAAAAAACACGCCACCAACATTCCTGCAAGGAAAAGAGCGCATAAGTTACAGTCATCCCTCTTTAATCCAGCACTTTATAAACTAGCATAACTTTCAACAACCAAAATGCGCTTTTCATGCACATTGCAGCTGTAAATCAGATTCCGGACCGAGGAAGAGGGTGTCGGGTCCCGTGTGAGGTTGGTCTGAAACCACCGTACTTGTCTGGCATACACACACATACACTTGCCACATGCATGCAACCCCCCCCCCCCCCCCCACACACACACACACTTGCCATCCACATGCACCCCCCCCCCCACACACACACAACACACAATACCCACCCACACTGGTACAGTCAGCATGTTGCAATGCACAGCAACACCGTAGTAACACAGTGCGTATCACATACCGAGACCGGGAATGATGGCGTTGATACCGCAGAAGAATATGTTCAGCCAAAGTGGAAACACCAGAACCCATCGAGTGTATGTTAAATTCGTCTTGGAGTACTTCATCTCCTCCTGCCGCGCTGCAGAAGACAATGAACAATGGGCACACAACAGCAGGGTGTGAAAACACCGACAGAGATAAACAGCGGTTTATCTCAGTGGTGCCCAGTGGATAAGCAGAACAGAGCAAGGCACTGAATGAACAGGCCCGTACAACTCTCATCCGCGCACACAGACCCAGAAGTTTCTGTTCTGCGGTCTGCCACTGCAGTCTCTTCAAACCAGTAAAGTACCGAATCTTCCCGAATATAAGTCGCTCCTTTTTTTTTGGTGATAAACGTCGCGGGCAAAGAAGGGGATGCGACTTACAATCGAGTGTGACAACCTACCTTTAAAAGATGTAAATATTATATTTACACAATATGGCTCAGACCTGAAAGTGGGGATGTGAATTATAATCAAGTGTGACTTATAATCGGGGAAATACAGTAACTAGAGTCGACTCCACTTATAACGAACTTGCATGCACCGAATTTCGTGATATAGTGAACCATTCTCAGTGTCCAAGTTTGAACCCATACAAAATTAAGCCTTTATAGCGAACAGTTTTCGTTCATAGCGAACCAAATCTTCTTGGTTTGCATGTGCATCAAGTGCACACACACACTGTCATGGGCCACATATCAGTCAATCCGACTCAGGACTTGCTGCTTGCATAGTGCAAGCGCATTTCTGTTAAAACAAACTTCGGCTATAAAGAACTAATTCTCCTGCACAATGGTGTTCGTTACAATTATCAAGAGGCGACTGTCATCTATTGGTGATCGTGTCACAAGTGGCTCACCACTGAATAGTAACATCTGTGTCTGGGTGCGCAAATGAGTGGTAGCTCTTGCAGCAAACAACAACGCCTCTTTTCCATTCCCTTTTCCTGGGCCTGGTGTAACAGTTATTGCTGTATGAGGCTTGGCTTCTGTACAGGGGGGGGGGGGGGCATCAATGTGATACGAGCTTCACATTATACTACAGTGCTGCTCTATGAAATCCGATCACGTGAGTCTGTTTTGCGCCCCGCACCAATTCACATCCTAGTATTTGCAGGTCTAGCTAGAGCTGCACAGCATGGCATTGATACGCTTGATCAGACTGCATTATGCAGCGCTCTACAGATACAGTAAAACCTGTAACTAAAGACCGCCGTGACTGGCGACCAGCCTGGTACTGCAGTAAAACCTGTAACTAAAGACCGCCGTGACTGGCGACCAGCCTGGTACTGCAGTAAAACCTGTAACTAAAGACCGCCGTGACTGGCGACCAGCCTGGTACGCCAGGCACGGACGGTCTCACATTCGCATAATGGTTGTGCGGTGCAAACCTCGAACTAAGGACCACCTGTCACTAAAGACCGCTTTCTCTGGCTCCAAGGGGTGGTCGTTAGCAAGAGTACATAACCCCCCAGAGTGTGCAACCCCTGATCCAGCTCTGCATAGGGTCTTGGTCGAGCGTAATCGGATCTTTGCGTCATAATACCGTACACATCTGAGGGGAACTCGGGGAGTCGCGGGTACTCTCGGATCAAAAACAATGGTGCCCTGCCTCGAGACCGGCCTTGCGCTGGTTTGGAGTGTACGCATGACATCAGAAGATCCGATTCCGCTCGACCAAGACCCTGTGCAGAGCTGGATCAGTGTTGCACACTCTGGAGGGTTATGTACTCTTGTCGTTAGTGACAGGCTTTACTGTATAGAGATGGGATTAGGTACATGTGCACGTACTCTACAATCTCAGGACACTGGGTGTGCCTTCTGTGGGTACATGCATGTACATTTTCCAGGGAGAGCAATATCGTTCGCGTCTCGAGCTGACAATGGATGACGGGCAGATGTCAGTCAAGTCCTCTAGGCTCTTCATTTTCTCACTTGCGGTGCCGGGCTAGCGCTGAAGCCGAGACCTTATGTCGACATGGCGACATTGTTAGTCTTGCTTTGCGGACGCAGGCTCTCAGCAAGCCTCTACTAGTTCCTTGTCCGTACTCCTTTCTATGTTTACCACAGTCACTCAGTTTTCTTCTGCTTTTATCTTGGTTGCGATCTCCCAGTTGCAAGTGAAATTTCAAATTTGCGAAAAAATACCCTTGTTCATCAGTTTGAGTGAGTGAAAAAGGAAAAGTCTCAAACAAATTATTGATTGTCCCCAGCAGGACTCGAACAAGGGATCTTCGTTTCAAGTCAGCGATGCTCTACCTCTAAGCTGTAGTGTGGGCATCATGCAAGCGGAGATGCGGCTCTTGTCATTTTCGTTGACTTCAAGACTCGGGACAAGAGTAGCATTTCCGCAGCGGCAAAAGCACTGGATCGAATGCACATGCATGGGCATCATAGCCTTGGAGCTGTGGCATCATTTTATGATCCACAGCAAGAAGGCAGCAATGCCTGTACCTATGGTGAAGTAAAATAAAGGCAACATAACATAACATGGGCGATAAGAGTACATTTTACTGTCGACCAGAACAACTTCCGGTCGTGTACAATCGTCAACAGAATGATTGGGAAACAACATGATTGAGTGACCCTTCAGTGTTCGTAATGATTTCCTCAATTACGTTTACAGGACACAAGCTATGGCCGGGACGGTTTACAGGACACAAGCTATGGCCGGGACGGCAATCACACATCTGTGAAAATCCCACATCACACAGTTCCAGGCACTCACCGAGAAATATGAGCTCCGGAGCGGGTGTGGACGCCACGCCGGGCTGAGTTGGGTATGCTGTCTTGGAGTTGGGCATGTTGGCTGAGGAGTCGCCGCGATGCAAGGTGTCGATGTATGCAGGTGGCTGATCTTCCGACACTCGCCGTGCCTCCGACATCATCTTCTGGGTATCCGTCATTGTGGCTCCGGAGCTCCGCGATCCTTCAACAACTACGGCAAATATTCGTCGAATCAAACCACAACTCAGAGCTTGGGCTGGAGTCGAGATCATTTCCATCGAGGCGTACAACAACAACAAATTTTGCACTCGTCTTTGCACGGATCATTTTGCCGGGAAACGAGGTATATTATGCTCGGCAGGCCGCGAAAGAGGGCCTACGTACCCGGACCCGCGGCCCGCGGTACCGTAGATCTTCGAGCGTACCTGGGCTGGGGGGGGGGCTGTCAATATGGGAAGGTCCTTTTATTATGGCTGTGTGAAAACAGTGAAGAAGAGGTTGGTGCGACTTCGGCGATAGTACCGTACTAGTACAGTACTAGCAAGAGTACATAACCCAAGGGGTTATGTACTCTTGGTAGTAGGGGAAGAGTGTGTTGCTTCCTACATGTGTTTACCAGGGAGTAGTACAATATGGTATTGTACTACTCCCTGGTGTTTACTGCTGGTTTTACTCAGTCGATAGAGCAAGAGGGGTTTCAGGTATATGTAGACGGTAAGTAGAATCTAGCATGAAACTAAGATGCAGGAAATCGGTAGGAATCCGAAACTTATCCGTAGGAAACTAATCTGTGGGAAACTAAGAATGCAGCAGCTTTTATAGGGTGAGAACGTAGAGCAGAGAGAAGTATGAAGAGAGGGTAATTAGAAAGCAGGACAAGAAACAGCGTAGGGGGAAGAATGGACCTAAGTGGCGAGCAACTTGATGTTTGAACATGTCGAAGACAGTTCAGAGTTTTGTCCGTCGCATTACTTCTCCCACCCATGCTGGTCATGGTGGGAGACAGTCCCCAGACTTGTTACAAAGTACATGTATACGTAGCACTGACTCCATACCGAGGGCAAAGGTCACAAAAAGGAAGCCCGAGAGCCCGAGCGAGAGCCTGTGCCCGAGCACTGAAAGTGATGACCGGCCCGTGTCGGGGACACGTAAAGCAGCCTGCAAGCCAGGCAGAGATGCTGCTACCCAAGACCCAGGACCGAGTACTCTTAGTGACCACTGTACGTGCGCGTGCGAATCCCAACAGCAAGTATCTATCTACCCTACTACAGTCAGTGCTGCTGGGAGACCTCAAACAAGAATTGAAACATGTCACGGCGTGAAACGCGAAATGCAAACACTCGCGGACAGTCTGCTCGCGCCTATTGCGTCACGCATCAGTGATCTCGAGGACCACGCCCAGCTAGCACCAGCGCGAAGACATCAGCCGCATCAGCGCAGCGCGGAAAACAAGAAGGTACGCAAGACGGTGGAGCAGATTGCCGCAAAAACGGACGCGACTGTAATTTCCGCCATGGGAGACATCAGACATGGAGAAGAAGCTTGGCGCCATCATGTCTGCATGCTGGAGCCGACCGTGCGTCCAAATCGGGACCCCGTGGGTCATGGACTGGTTTCGGTTCATGCAGCACTGCGCCCATAAATGGCAATGACATCCGGGACATGATCGACGACATCGCGGATCAGCGCACCCGTGACAACAATGTGATACTTCGCGGCCTAAAGGAAAACTCGCGCGAAGACCTGCCCGCACTCGTCAGTGCAGCACTTGTTCCCGACTTCAATTGGGACGACATTATCCAAGTTTCGCGACTCGAAGGGAGAAAGCAGAGTGTGGCAGATTCCTCTGCTTCCGCCAGTGCTAGCGCTAGCACTCAGCCACCAGACCCACCACGCCCTGTACGAGCTGTCCTCACGGCAAGTGAGAAATCGCACCTGATGCGCAACAAAACTCGCGCAAAGATTAACGGGCAGCCGGTCTACGTTCACGATCTGACGCGCCAGCAGCAGCAGAGGAGGCGCCCGTTGGTGGCGAAGTTCAAGGCCCTGAGAGCTAAGGGAAACCCATGCCACCTGCCTAAGGATGTCATCGTCATGAATGGCAAGCCTTTGACTGACGCAGACATCGAGGATCTGCTCGATCAATAGGAATCAGCCCGGGCAGTCCCTCCATCACACGCAATAAGAAACACCGCAGTGATACAACCACCCACTGACACCAACGACAGAAAGCTAAGTATCACCCGTGCATGCATTTCTAAAATAGATTCTCCTTTGTTAATTGCCCACATAAATATCTGTAGCCTCTTAAATAAACTGCATGAAGTTGAATACATTCTATTCAAACATAAGATTGACGTCCTAGTAATTTCGGAGACATGGCTGAAAACAGCAATCCCTGACGGCTCAATCAAACTGCCTGGCTATGAAGTACACAGAAGAGACCGCAAGCTAAAGACAGGAGGCGGTGTATGTATCTGCATCAATGACAAACTTAAGCACAAACAATTACATATCCTCCAAGATATCGAAGCCGTTTCCATCCAGTTATTATTGCCGTACAATCCCCTGAACATAGTATGCACGGACAGACCCCCTTCATCCCCCGTCACATTTTGGGAGGAGTTGCTCAACACCGTTGATGACATCGAATCACACACGAGAGAAGCTCATACCATTGTGCTAGGCGACCTCAACGTCAACATCGCAGACCACGAACACCAGCAGTACAGGCACTTCCTAAGCTTCTGCCACGCTACCAACTTACAGAACATAGTTACGTACCCAACCAGATTTCCGAGCCAATCGGTGCTAGACTTAATCTTACTACCCCGTACAATTTATCCACCAGCACGTGTCTCCTATTCCTCAGGGAGACAGAGCATCATCTACCACGGCTGTTCCGTTAAGCCATGCGACGCTTCCGATCACCAACTAGTAGTTTTAGAGCTGTTGGCTACATTGCACTCTGCGCCGCAGAATCCACCGGTCAGAACCCGGAAGCCTCCAATAAGAACCATAAACGCACAGGCATTCCAGACAGAGATCACTTCGAAGATGTCAATCGTCGAGAACCAACCAACTGACCTCAATGCAAATATTGAACTTTTTCAGGGCTCCATCACCGAAGCACTTGATCATCATTGCCCCGTGAGGATAGTTACCTTTTCCACCAAGTATAAACCCGCACCACGGGTCGACGACGAGCTACGTAAACTGCTCTACCGCAGAAAACGAGCTAATAGACTCCTGCTGAAACAGCCGGGTGACCAGCAACGAATCCAGTCGTTCCGAGCGCTTCGGCGAGAGTGCAAAATCACCATGCGCCCTAAGAAAGCCAATTGCTTTCAGGCCGAGTTCATTAACAACAGACGGAACCCTAGACGTCAGTGGAGCGCTATGAACAGCCTACTTGGCAGAACGAAAGTCAGCCGTGAGCCTGGAGCTAGTATTGCAGACATTACAATCTGTATTCTCAGAAATAGTTGGGCCTTTGCCGCCAACAGAGACTTCTGACGCCCTGACGCTGGCATCCGTGCCTGATCATCCATCCAACATTCCGCCTGCTCTGCCGTGTGGCCCCCAGTCAGACGGCACTCTAGTTTCTTTTACCCGAATCACAGCGGGGGACGTTAAGTTCCATCTCCGTGCTGTGGACAGTCGCAAAGCAAGTGGTCCTGACGCCATCCCCCCGCTCGTCTACAAACTTGTGTCTGACCAAATTGCACCAACGCCTCTCTCTCTTGTCGATATCCCTTGGAACTGGTGAATTCCCAACGCCCTACAAGCTAGCACACATCCATCCGATCCACAAACGTGGGGACGTTTCCGACCCTCGCAACTACAGACCCATCTCCCTCCTTCCTCTCATGTCCAAACTTCTCGAGAGGTGTGCGCTAGAGCAACTTACGCAATACATGGACAGCGCCAGTCACATGGAATCCCTCCCTTCAGTTCAGTTTGCGTACCGCAAAAACCACTCCTGCGACGATCTTCTCGCTCTGGTGGCAAATTATTGGAGTAAAAGTCTAGACTAGAACGAGTATGTGGCTGCGGCTTTCCTCGACATGTCCAAAGCCTTCGACACTGTCAACCACAGTTTGCTCCTCCAAGAACTGTTCGAGATTGGTGTGGGAGGGGTTGCACTGCGTTGGTTTGCATCATACCTTACTGACCGCCAGCAGAGAGTTGTCACCAAGTCTAGCAGAGGTGCCTGTTATTCTGCCTCCAGAGGTGTACCTCAAGGATCTATCCTTGGACCCGTCTTGTTCAATCTTGCTGTCCGCAAACTGCCAGAGTGTGTTGCTAATACCAAGGTCCGTCAGTTTGCTGACGATGTTTTTGTCTACAAATCCGGAAGGGATCCACAGAAGCTCACTGCAGACTTGGCCAGAGACGTTCTGTCAATCCGCAACTTCCTCCGGGACCACGGCCTTAAACTCAACGCGGAAAAGACACAGTTCATCATATTCCGCTCAAAGTCCAAGGCTGTCCCAGCTAATCTCCAATTGTCAATTGATAGCACTAGCATACCGCCTTCAGCCACGATCAAATACCTCGGCTTCCTGTTCGACGAGCATCTTACGTACCGAGATCACATCACGCTCCTGGAACGCAAGATAGGCACTAAACTTGCTGTGTTCAGGAAAATCAAACACAATCTAACACCTGCTGCCAAACGAGTCTTCTACTGTTCCTTCATTCAGGCCCAACTTGAATACGGCTCTAATGCATTTGTACACAGCCTCCAAGTCTCGCAAATGGACCGCATTACTCGTATATCTAACCGTGCTGTTCGGATTGTCTTTGGCTACCCGAAGTACTACGATGCTTCTCTTGTTGTAGCTAGGAACTATCTCGCTGCTATTTCCCTTAGATATCAATTTCGCCTGTTTGTACTGGTGTTTCGAGCCCTCCATAAGTTATGCAGTCCACTGCTCTCGACCTGCTGCCTCCCTCGCACTGCCACTTCACAAACCTCAGCCCATACTCGCTCTCAGTCCACTTTGTCACTTAGTCTTCCTTAAGTTTCTCGCCGCTATGGTTTATACTCGCTTAGCTTTCTTGGTTCTGATCGTTGGAACGCACTTCCTGCTGATATTCGCACAATCCCCTTGCTCAGAAACTTCCGTTCATCTATTCAACAATTCATAGGGTACCCTGTAAAAAGGCCCTAGGCCTGTGGGACTGCATTATTCAAAATTTATTAATAATAATAATAATAACTGGTGGGGCAACAGGAATGACCTCTAAAACTGTGTAGCGCAAGGGATCTTACTTGTAGGTAGGCGCCGGCGGATAATGCTAGTTATTTTCGGCAATTATGCTACCAGCACTGCTAGTAAAAGTGACACATTACGCTAGTTTTAACCCTTTGTGTACGGACTGTACAACTTTCGATCCCCTG